AAACCTCCTAAACTTGTTTTCCCTCAGGCCACAGCCTGGGTAACCTGAGGGCAGGGTATTTGACAGAAGTAAGAGGGAGGCCAGAGCCATAAAATGTCTCAAACATCGTGCCTGCCTTGAATTCAATCTACCCTGGCATCTAGAATTACCCATAAGAAAGAATCTTGATGCCAGAGAGGCACACGGTGGGTGGGGAGATGCATTTGCTCCAGTCCAGGCCAGTGGCTGGCTTTCATGCTGATCCCAGCCCTGTGATGGAGACAGAGGGGGTGACACCCTAATTCATCACAGATGCTCTTTCTTCTGGGTCTTTTCCTTTTTTGTTCTCCTACTCCTCTTCCTCCCCCAAAGGCATTTATTACTCTCAGTCATCTGAGGCTATAATAAAATACCATAGACTGGGTGGTAAACAACCAACATTATTTCTCACTGTTCTGGAGGCTGGAAGGTCTAAGATCAAGGTGCTGGCAGATTCGGTGTCTGGGGACAGCCTGCTTCCTGGTTGCTGTGTCCTCATCTGGTGGAGAGAGAGCTCCACTCCCTTCCTGTTCTTCTAAGGGCACTAATCCCATCACGTGGGGGCTCCAACCTCCTGCCCTCATCTAGCGCTAATCACCTCCCAAAGGTCCCAGTTCCAGATGCCATCATATTGGGGACTAGGGTTTCAGCACATAAGTTTGGGGGATACTAACATTCGGTCCATAGCAATTACACATTATCTACTCATGTGCTCTGACAGGTGGAAGAGAAAAATCTAACTCTAGGATCATCCTCACTGAGGCTGGTCCTGGTGGGCAAATCCAGCTGAGGGAAAAGTGCCACTGGGAACAGCATCCTCTGCCAGACCGTGTTTGAGTCCAAACTGGGAGCCCAGACGGTGACCAAGACCTGCCAGGTGGCCACAGGCACGTGGAATGGGAGGAACATCCTGGTGGTTCACACCCTTCATCTTAGAGGCAAAGGCCCCAAACCAAGAGATGTACAAGGACATCGGAGACTGCTACCTGCTCTCAGCCCCAGGGCCCCATGTGTTAATGCTGGTGACACAGCTGGGGTGCTTCACTGCCCAGGACACGATGGCAGTGAGGAGGGTGAAGGAGGTCTTTGGGGCAGGGGCCGTGGGACATGTGGTGGTCCTCTTCATCCACAAGGAGGACTTAGGGACTCAACCCCAGTGAGGCAGGGCGGCACCCTTTGAGACTAGCACAGGTGTTACCTGGCCAAGGTGCAAGCGCACATTGAAAAACATAGGTGAGACCTGAAGGAGACCCGGAGTCACTGGGTGTCCAAGGTGCTCCTCAGTGTAAAAATGTGGAGTCCTTTTGCATTATGAGATTCGTGTTTATCCAGTTGGGTGCAGCTTACTTCTCATTATTATTTTACTGATCATTTGGCAACATCTTTAATTCTATGTGCCATCTGTATGTCAAAGCGTTTCCAAGTGTCACCTTATGGATTCATGGTTCTGCTTGTCCCCAGTTCAGAAATTTACTCTCATGGTCTGTAGAGGACATGCTTTGGTGTCTATGAGTTCCTATTGCTTCTTTTTTATGGACGTCTGGTTGGGTTCAGGCCTTCACTTGTTCCCAAAGAACCATGGGCCTCAGGGGACAGTGACAACAGCTGAGCTGCAGGGACACCTGATGGGTATGACTGCAATCCTGTGCTCTTTGCCGTGATTAGTTCAGGAATGGGCCTGAGACCCAATTCAGGCCAAAGAGAAGTGAGTACAGGTCTGCAGAGGTGGGGACCAGAGGTTTCTGCTTTCCCGGGAGACCCACAGAGAGACACAGCCCCCCTGCTCCCCTGAGCATGGTTGGGTCTGAGTGTGATGCTTGGAACTCCAGCCACCATCCAGCTACCAGCCTGAGGGTGATGGCAACACCTCAAAGCAGAGCAGAGTTGGAACAAACCTGAGGATTCAGAGTCAACCAGCCCTGGAAGGAGGGGCATCAAGGCCGGAATCCTGATCCAAAGTCCTTACCCTCCCCTGCTCAGCCGGCTCTACCTTGAGGGCACAGGGCAGTGAAGGGAGCCACATGTAGGGGGGTGGCCCAAGATACAAACCTGGTTCCCTCCTCAGTATTGCCATCAGTGACCATATTTTGTTGATTCCAGCACCTCCTCAGTGTCTCCCATTTGAGTCTTCATTTTGTTAAGGCTCAGACCCTGATCCCTGAGATGGAATTCTTTCCTTCTAAATGTTCTCTTGCCCCTAGGTTTACTCTCATACAATCCAGTCACCACATTGCTGCCTCGTGATCTTCCTAAAATATTGTCTGCTAATCTGCTCTGACATGCAGACAATATCTAATGACTTTCTGTTCTCTGCTGACAGCCCTTGAGTCCTGAGGGTGATGCACAGACCCTGGCCCAACCCTGCCCCTTGCTGTACCGTCCCTGTGTGCTGGTTCTCATTCCCCCCTTGTCCGTGGCCTCCCGCAGCCCAAAGTGTCTCAGTGGGTTCCCAGCAGCTCTAGCACCACCCATCTAGGGAGCCCATGCTGAGCCGGCGTGCTCTCCCTTTGGCCAATGTCTGACCTCCAAATCCTTTTTCTCACACCCCATTTTCCTGCAACTCCATCGTCTATCACACAGTTGCTTTTGGAAGCAGGAATCTTGCATTATTTCTCTTACATTCCTGGGGTGGTGTAGAGAAGCTGACACTCAGTATTTGTGAAATAAATGGCTGTGCAGCTGGACTGAATTAAGTCTAGGAAGGGGGAGACTTAGGCAGGTTGGACAGTTTGGGATCAGCGTTGGGGAGGTGATCCCGGGTCAGAGAACGCAAGTTCTTTAGGGTGGACAGGGTTTGAAGAGCTTGTACATAACTCTCCCTGTGGGTGTTTGGAGTCAGTAATGTGCTACAGCTGGTAAGATCAAGGCGACACCTCTGTTACCAGTAGAGGTTTGGAGAATGACAGCTGGGTGGCACCATTGAGTTCCTAAGAGTCCTCCCAGACCTGATCATTTACCCATCCAGTCTCACGCTGCTGGGACAACTGCAGGTCTGCAGTACAGGGTAAAAATGAGCAGAGAAAGGGGGACAACCACGAAAAGAAGGAGAGGGTGGGGCAGGGGCTACTTGGGGACTTCATCTGGCTTCCAATTTCCACTACTGTAACTTCATGACCTCTGCCCAGATGTCACCCTAATGCCTGCCCTCTTCTTTTTGCTGCCTTGGAGGTGGTGAACACCCCTCCTTCCCTGAGTTCCCAGATGTGATTGTACTGACTTTGGGGCTAAAGAGGCTGCTTCACAATACAGTTCCACCAACAATGGGAATTTACTGTAATCGCAGGTGGGACCATATTGGCCTGCTGCCAGTTTTACAGCCTCCCAGCTAAGAAGGAAGGGCTTTTAGATATTTTAAAAGTTGAATAAATAGAGTCCGGAGAGACCAAGATGGCGGCATAGGTAAACACCGCAGACTGCTGCCGCAAACAACCACTTCAAAAATACAACTAAAAGACGGAACAGACATCACCCAGAACCACAGGAAGGCTGGCTGAGGAGAGACTCTTCAACTAGAAGGAAAAATAACAGCACACCGAGGCTCAGAGGAGGCGCAGTGTGGAAAAAACTCAGGTGCGGAGGTGCGCGCGCAAAGCGGGCTGGTGGCTGAGAGCGCGGTTGTCGTTTTCGGTCAGGGGGGAGTCTCAGACTCTGAGCTCCAGATACGGGCGAATCGCTGGGGACTCGGACCCAAACGGGAGAAGCGGGAGTGTCTGGCATCAGTTGGAAGGCAGCTTTCCCTCCGAGGTTTGCAGCGGTTCCGGGGGTTCTGAGAAGCAGAGCCTCTGGGAACGGGACTGAGAGGGGCCATAACCACTCCCTCCGCCCGCCCTGTTGAGCCCGCCCCGCCCAAGCCCTGCGCAGAGCCATTTGCCAGATCGCCTCAGGCAAAGGCTAGATTAGCACCTCCCCAGAGGACAGAAGTTTTCCGCGGCAGACACAGCTGATTCACACAGCCAGTCGGCCTGGTGGTCAAATCCCTCTAGTATTAACTACAACAATCAAGGCTCAACTAGAACAAGACTGCGCACAAAGACCACTAGGGGGTGCACCAAGAAAGCATAAAAAATGCGGAGACAAAAAAACATGACAGAAATGGAGGATATAGAGCTAAAAAACGCAATTTTGAGGGCTTGCAATAAACTTTTGGAGAGCTTCACGAAAACTAATGAGACCCTCGATGCTATGATAAAGAAACTAGAAATTAAGCATACACGCTCTGAAATAAAGAATATTACACCCAATAGCAGACCAGAGGAGCGCAAGAATCAAGCCAAAGATTTGAAATGCGAAGAAGCAAAAAACACCCAACCGGAAAAGCAAAATGAAAAAAGAATCCGAAAATACGAAGATAGTGTAAGGAGCCTCTGGGACAGCTTCAAGCGTACCAACATCAGAAAAAGAAGAATGTTTCATCGCCACATTGGAAAGTCAGTGAAATTCAAATTTCAGTGTTCACAAAGTTTTATGGAATTCAACCTCACACATCACTTACATCTTGTCCATCCACCATTTCCTTTGTAAGTGACTGAGATCATGTAGTCTGCTGAGCCTAATCCACTGTCTGGCTCTGCTCTATGAAACCCCAGTTCCTATTTTCCCCCCAGCCACTGTCTCTGCTTTCCCCAAGGCCTCACCCCATCCCAACTCTGTGACCATTTTCTCTTCTCTTCACTTGTCCATGTCCCCTCCCACTTTCCTCCCCACCTCCCTCATGCCTCCAAAATTCCCCCCAAAACATCCTCTCCCAGGTGGCGGTGGTGATGGGTGTCATCTCTTACAGCCTATGATGAAATCAGGGCACATTTCTGAAAAATATAAGGAATTCTACACCCAGCTTCTAATGTAATATATTTCTTCCATCAATGTGTAATATCACAGTCCTCTCACCTTCCTTCCTACAAAACCCTCCCAAAGATTCCAGGATTGTATCTAGCTAAGTTATTATTTACCTCCATGATATTTAACAAATCAAAAAAGAAATATATTTTCCTTTGGATTTTATTTATCTAGAAACACTAGGAGAACATGAATGGCATGTCTAATGCAAGGAAGAGAAATGAAAACTGAACTTAAGCAAAAAGCACCTAAGTTTCTTACAAACACAGACACAGATGGTGAGTCTTAGAAAAAAAGAAGTCAATTGTAGAAGTCAGCTGAAAATGCTCAGCATCTTTAAGGAATACACAACTTAATTAAAAGGGCAAGAAAAATCAAAATGCAGATCACAAGGAAAGCAGATAACCCAATGTTAGAACGCATCCACTTTCTGACTCTGAGGAGCACGATGGACACCCGGTGACTCTGGGTCTCCATCAGGATTCGCTTTTGCTTTTCAACGTGCGCTTTCACCTTGGCCAGGTAACGCCTGTACTCTTCTCCAGTGGTGCTGACCCTGCCTTCCTTGAGCATCTGTGCATCAAAGTAGAGGTCGTTTGTGTAGAAGGCGCCCTGGTGCTCTCTCTCCAGGCTCTCGACCACAGCCATCAGCTCCTCCAGCTGCGCCCTCTGCTCCTCCCCAGTGGCCCGGTTGTTGAAGCCACAGTACCTCCTCCCACACTCCTGGATCAGGCTCCTCAGGCTGTGGTTGTCCGTGTTGACTACATACTCATCCAAGGACCCATCCCCTAAGTCCTCCTTGTGGGTGAAGAGGACTACCACGTGTCTCATGGCTCCTGCCCCAAAGACCTCCTTGACCCTCCTCACTGCCACCGTGTCCTGGGCAGTGAAGCGCCCCAGCTGCGTCACCAGCAGCAACACGTGGGGTCCTGGGACGGAGAGCAGGTAGCAGTCCCCGATGTCCTTGTACATCTCTAGGTCCTGGGACTTTTCCTCAAAGATGGAGGGCGTGTCAACCACCAGGATGTTCTTCCCATTCCATGTGCCTGTGGCCACCTTGCAGCTCTGGGTCACAGTCTGGGCCCCCAGTCTGGACTCAAACACAGGCTGGCAGAAGATGCTGTTCCCAGTGGCACTTTTCCCACAGCCGGATTTGCCCACCAGGACCAGCCTCAGTGAGGATGATGATCCAAATCGGTTATCTTCTACACTGCCTGAAAAAGAAATGTGTGTCTTACTAAGCCAGTGTTGCTTCAGATTTTTTGGTCATGGACCCTTGTGGTATCTCATTAAATCTGTGGACCTCCCTCCCAGGAAACTGTCATATCTAAATACACACACAAATGTGCTGGCAACTGTATTAGGTTCCTGGGTCATAGAAAGTCTATATAGGAAGCCCAGGTTGGACCCATAGCCAAGAGTAATAACTGCTACACTGACAAGGATGCTCCACGCCCTTCAGCTAAACCAGGGATGATATAGTTTTTCTGAAAGTAAAGTGGTCCCTGTGTTTTTCCAGGGATGGTGTCTAGGCCAGTTTCATGCTAAATAAATGTGAGATTAGAAGGAGGCAGTGGATGAGAACTCACACATGGCAAAATATTACCACCTCTTTTCACCCACAAATTCCCAGGCACACATGTGTAGAAGTGCTCAACACATTCATTATTTATCTAAACCTTGGGATGAAAGGGAGTCTCAGATGAAAGTGAGTCTCACCTCCATATAATTCCAGGCAAAAATTCACTCATGCTCTTGTGTGACCTCAACCAAGGACCAGTTGAGGTCCCTGGACCTCTGCTCTTTGGATCGGGAGTTGGATGCTTGAAATTGAGACAGCCGAAAGGTTGTAGATAATGTCAAAGGCAAAGACTGGGAGATGACCCAGGATGGGTGGCTGAAGAGGCGTGGATGTTAAGACCATTAGTAGTACATGTGATGGAAAGGTCACCTGTATGGCTGATTGAGTTACAGGAAGTTAACAAAAGTGATGCTGGGGAGGGAAACACTGAGCCAAGAGCTAAAACCTTCAAGGGATGAAGGAAGATGAAAAGGAGATGTTCTAGAGTTCTTATGAGCTCAAATGGATTCCACATTCACTGTAGGCTTCTAAAATCGATGATTTAATTCCTACTCTGTGTTGGTTCTTCCTTTCTGCAGTGTCTGGGATGTTTTTGTAGCAAACATGATTACTAAATCTCTCTGAAAAACTTTTCCATTTCTTCAGCTCAGAGCAGACAAGGAAAGAGAAAATTTATTTACAATTCAGATCAAAATCCTGCAAATTCTGACTTGAAGTTGCATTTCCACATTTCCCACACGTCATGTGCCTGGAGAGCATTGTACTGAGGGGTCAGTTGTGTGTGTGTGTGTGACGATGGCTGGAAAGGTAAAGAAAAAAATGAGTACTATGTTTTTCTTCTTCAGTTTAAAATCACTGGGTTTCTGTCACTGTGTTTGAGGTGAGGGTCTGGTGCCTTTTAAGAACTTGGAAGCTTTCTTACCTTTAGTCATAGTTCCATATTTGCTCATCAGAGGTCCTTCCATTCTCTTCTGGAAGAAGCATAGGAAAAGAATAAAAGCAAGTGTCTGATACCCTTATAATTAACCCAGTTTTCAATAACTGAAAAAGAGCAAAGGGAAGGCCAAATATTATAGTCATTTGTGCATTACAGTCATTCACCAGGAAGCTGAAGTTCAACATATGCCCAGTAAAGTTTGGGTGACAGAAGGAAGGTACTTGCTTTCAGTCACAACTGGGAACAGGTCATTGGGCAGAGCAGGTGTGGCCACTGCAAGCAAGGAGAGATTTGAGATATTTAATCTCCTAAACAGAAGTATTAGCTCCATTACCTCGTCCTAGAGCTTGACTCCTGGCCTGGGGACTCTCAGGCTCCTGATCTCTTGCATTTGCCACATGGCTCACAGCCATGTGGACCCACACATGGGCTGATGGACTGCAAATATCCTGACGCTGTGCCAGACCCAAGTCCACCATGGAATAGAAACTTTGGACACTGGGACCCTGACTTTGCTTCTACCTCTACTGAATCCTCAGCTGCACCTCTTCCAGGACTGCATTGAAGGAAATGGGATTGAAACCCAGGATATAATTCCATGCAAAAAAAAAAATCATTCATCCTCCTGTGTGAGTCTTAGAAAATTCTTTTTGCACATCTTATCCTCCCTCTGAGGACCCTGGAAATGCTTATTCCAGCAGTGCCCCAAGAACCCCACTCCCATTAGCAATCCACGCAATTGTCTGTTAAGATTCCACTTGGGAGTTGGTAAGGCCTGAGGGCACCTCCAGTTCAGACACCTAATGCAAATTCTCCATCGAGGAGCCATTTTCATTGTTAATTTTCTAACTCACATTATACTTGCAAACATCAATAAATAACTTTCAGCAAACCAGGTGCTGCTAACACATTGCACTGTTCTCACAATGCTTGGTGGCTCTCTTTGTTTAGTTTTGTTACTTAGCTTACAGGAAAGGAGCAAATGTTTAAAAGCAATCAGTTGCTTATGTCCCTCCAACTGGAAAAGGCATGAAATGAAAAAAGCATTCTTTATGGAATGAGGGGGGGGAACATTATCTTATTTTATGTTTTGGAATCAAAGTAGGCTAACTTTCTGGAAACAGTACTCTCTCTCTCATGTCAGTCCTTGAAGGACTCATGTCCCAGATCCAACCGTCTCCTGGCAAGGTGCACTGTACTTTTCCTCTTGGCCATCGCATACCCATGTGACACAAAGAGTGCCGGGCACTAGAAATTCTCATTACTTCAAACAAGCCAATGCCATTAGCAGCAAGGCAATTTCTTTCTCTGTTCTAGCATGTTTGTTGTTAGCCCCTGAGTTGGTGGAGAGAAAGTTGTGCCATGGCCGAAGAGAAAGAATCAACACTGAGGACAAATTCAAGAACAACTCACTTCCTGCTCAGTGTTTAATCAAATGTTTTCCTGGCTGGCTCTGAGGTCCTTGTCTCCCAGTGATCACCATTTTGTATCCCAGTAGATTTAAACAGAAATTGGCACAAGCACTGGCATCAATTGGCATAAATGTTTCCTTCAAATGAGGCATAACATTGTGTCACTCATCTTGGTGTTAGAAGAGGCAAGTATGTCACATACAGCTATACCTAAGATGAGGTTGTATTTACTTATTCAGTTTTAAATATTATGCAGTTATGAAACATATTTTTAAGTGAAGAAATACAGAGTTATAAAACCAAAACCTACAATTTGCAATGAACAAATGTAAGTATTTTGGCATTTTTACTGAAGCTATTCTGTTTGATTAAAAAGCTAACACAGTACACATAGAACTTCATTTATGTTTTTTTGACTCCCCAGTCTTGTTCACCCTCCCTCTGCCCTTCAGAGGCAACCAATATTCTGAGGTTTTTATGTATCATTTCATGTATGTACTTATAGTTATATATACACATGTATCTATAGGTTATGCAAAAACATCTTAAAATTTTACATAAATGACATTATTTGTGTAACATTTTATCCAATAATATTTTTAAAAAGAAGCTTCAGTTACTTTTAAAAATATTTTTTTATTGATTACAGAGAGAGGAAGGGAGAGATAGAGAGACTGAAACATCAATGATGAGAGAGAATCATTGACTGGCTGCCTCCTGCATGCTCCCCACTGGGAATCAAGCCCTCAACACCGGGCATGTGCCCTTGACTGGGGAATCGAACCTGGGACCCTTCAGCCTGCAGGCCAACGCTCTATGCATTGAGCCAAACCAGATAGAAACAGTTACTTTTTTAATATATGTTTTTATTGATGAGAGAGAGAGAGAGAGAGAGAGAGAGAGAGAGAGAGAGGGAGAGAGAGAGAAATAAAGAAAGAGAGGATGGGAAAGAAAGAGAGAGAGAGAGAGAGAGAGAGAGAGAGAGAACCATTGATGTGAGAGAGACACATTGATTGGTTGCCTCCCGCATG